ATATATAAAATAGAGCCAATAATATATCCCAACCATCCCTCCAGAGTTACCATGAGGATTCAGGAGATAACGTAGGCAAGAAAACTGTAGAGTGCTCTACAAATAACACTTTATTACATTGTAATATCTTAACATTTTACAATCCCCAAGGCATTTTGTGGGGCCAAACGATGACATTAAACCAAATATTTCACTCGAGAAAGAGACTTTAGGAAGCCACCAGAGCAATTTTTTACTGTAGCAGCTTTTAAGTAGGTTGCCCAGGGTGGCACAGGGCAATCAGAAAAAACATTCACCCTTTGTGGGTACCATGATAAATGAAAGGGGGGGGTCAGTTCTGAGGCTGAATGTTTTTATTCTCCAAAAATTCATATGTTGAAGACCTAACCTCCAAAGTGAATATAGATTGGAGGTAGGGCATGATAGTTACAGTGATAGTTAAATAAGGTCATAAGGGTGGGGCCCTAATCCAATAGGGCTGATAACCTTACAAGAAGGGGAAGAGATACCAGAGTACTCTCTCTCTGCCATGTGAGGACACAGAGAGGAGGCAACTACCCACAAACCAGGAAGAAAGTTCTCACCAGAAACTGAATTGGCAAGAACCTTTATATTGGACTTCCCAGTCTCCAGAACTGAGAGAAATAAATATTTGTTGTTTAGGGGACCTGGTCTATGATATTTTGCTATGGCAGCCCAAGCTAACCAGTATAACCAGTATCATGTTCACCCCTGATGTTACCAATGTCACCAAAAAGCAGGGCCATTTGAGACCTGTCCAGCTGCCAGCTGGATGGCAGTGTGGCCTGTTAGATCACATGAGGGGCTGAAAACCTACAGTTAGGACCCATGGAATGTAAAAATGTCCTAGGCAGGCTTAGCATAAATGGGGCTCAGTATAAACTTCTTTGCCTAGAATAAAACTGTCCAAGTTCAGCAGATTATACTAAATATCCTCAGGAAAACAATCAAACCAAACCAGTAGAAAAATGAAAAAATTTCCAAAGATGCAGTCCCATGTCTGTAAATATAAATTATTGCCAAAAGCTTGAAACTGACTCCATGAAAAGAGCAAACAGTGGAAAAATTCTGATGAACAAAATTACAACTGAGCAAACAAAGGAATTTCTACATTAAAAATAACTAGCATAGTTCACTTTGCATCTTCCCCTTTTCACCAGAGCACAGCTACTTCTAAACTAATCTACCAGTTTCCTCATCTAGAAGGGTAGTGAGCTGAAGCCATTAAATATAAAAACAAGTACACATTGAATTATTACTTCTGCAGCTTATTTTCCTTAGGATGATATAAACCTCATTTCTTGGGAGTTGTGTTTTAGTTTACAAGAAGATAGGCAAGTTTTCAAATGTAAACACAGCTTCCCAGGAGGATCTATCCTAAAATCTGAGTAATGCATAGTTGAGAAAATGTTTCCACTTACCTTCTCCTTTCACACTAATCACCTTCCAGATGATTTAAAGAAAATATCATTTGGTGAGCATTCATTCCATGTGAGGCACTATTCCAGGTGCTTAAGGAAGGCTCTGCTAGTTTTCTTGCTACTCTCCATGATACCTGAAGTATTAGTTTAGCAAACTGCTTCCCAGAGAAAGAAAACACTTCCCAGGTTCCCTTGCAGCTAGCTGGGTCACATGACTAAGTTCTGGCCAATGAGATAGGAGTTGAAGTGATAACTTCCGGGTCATTCCCTTAGAAAGAAAGGTGTGTTTCCTCTAGCTTTCCTCCCTCTGGTGGCCTGGAATGTGGAAGTGGTGGTGACTGGAGCATGCAATAAAAGGAATGCAGACCAGAGACGGCTAAGCAACAGGATGGAGGCTTCCCCAAAAGCCTTTATACCATTTCTGGGTTGTTAGATGAGGCAGAAACAAACATCTGCCTTGTGAAAACCACTGTGTCCTTGGGCTGTTGTTACAGCAATCTATTTTCATTAATAGAGGACTGCACATATCTTGTGAGGTACGACTATCCCAGTTTTAACAGGGAATTAAGGTTTAGAGGGATTGAAGAACTTTTTTATAATCACACAGGTGGTAAGTGGTAAGGCTGAGATTTTAATCAAGTGCCTTTCCCATTAGTTCTTTTTTATACTAATAGAAAGAAAATTACTAATTTATAGAAAATTAGTGTTGTGCAGCTTTTGAATCCCTGATCTATTAATCTGATAGGATTATAAAAAGGTTTCGGTTTCCTTGAATTAGAATCAGTGCTACAAACCCCTTTATTTCTAATAAAGTGTCTAACAGTTACCAACTCCTCCAGGACCTACCCCTCAAAAAATGTTCCATTAGAAAAATTATAGACAAAAAGTATGCTGATTCTCCTGGACTATGAGGTAGAGGACCAGTAAGAATGCTCTAATAATTTATAAAATAATATACTGAAAAATCACAATAACTCAGAAACAGATCAGAGGTTTTTCTGGTATGCATTTTCTTTCCTGATGTTACCCTTATGTTAACACATAAATTCATTCTCAGAAGGAACCATATGTGCATTCATTCAACTTTTAACAACTTTTACCAACATTTACTGAGTGCCTAGTCTATGTCAGGTACTGCTTTAGGCACTGGGGAAACAGCAGGAAACAAACTAGACAAAGCTCTGCATGTGTGGAGATTGTTCTCAAATGTATCAATTGTAGATAATGTCCTACACAAATGAACATAACAGGCTTTCGATGTGTGCCAGTAATTCATATTTTTTAAAATAAACATTTTTGGAGTAGTTTTATTTTTTTACTTTATTTTATTTAATGTTTATTTTTGAGACACACACACACACACACACACACACACACACACACACAGTGCCTAGTGCCGCTGGGGGAGGGGCAGAGAGAGAGGGAGACACAGAATCTGAAGCAGGCTCCAGGCTCTGAGCTGTCAGCACAGAGCCCGACCTGGAGCTTGAACTCAACTGTGAGATCATGACTGGAGCTGAATGAAGTTGGACACTTAACCGACTGAGCCACCCAGACGCCCCCATTTTTTAAATTTTTTATTGTTTTGAAGTTTATTTGGGAGAGACAGAGTGTGTGTGCATGTGAGCTAGGCGGGGACCAAGAGAGGAGGAGAGCAGAGTGTGGGTGCATGGGAGCTAGGCAGGGATCGAGAGAGGAGAGAGAATTCCAAGCAGGCTCTGCATTGTTAGTGCTGAACCTGACACAGGGCTTGATCCCATGAACCTTAAGATGATGACCTGAGCCAAAATCAAGAGTCAGACACTTAACCGACTGAGCCACCGAGGTGCCACGTTTTGGAATACTTTTAAAATTTATGGAAAAATTATAAAGATGATACAGAGAGTTCCCATATACTCCTCACCCAGTTTCCTCTAATGTGCCTCTTATAGTTTTTGTTTGTTTGTTTTTTCTTGGTTGTGTATGTGTGTGTGTGTTTAAACTAATGTCCTTCCTCTGTCCAGGGTCCAATCTCAGACTACCACATTACATTTATGCCTCAAGCTTCATTAGTCTCCTCTAGTCTGTGACAGTTTCTCAGGTTCCTTTGTTATCATGGCCTTGGCAAGTTTGAGGAGGTATTTTATGAATGTCCCTCAATTTGGGGTTGTCTAATTTTTTTTTCATAGTTGAATTGGAGTTTGCGTTTTTTTTTCTTTTTAAAGAATATCACAAAGGTAAAGTGCCCTTTTCATCACTTCAAACCAATGATAAATTGGATAAATGATAGCAATATGACTTATCACTAGTCATGTTAACCCTGATCTAAGGATTCCTGATTTTGTTTATGGAAAAATTTTGGGTGTGCTTTTTGCTACCAGGATGAGCTCCATTTCTGTAAGTCTGTATTAAAATATAGTAAATTTATTTGGGAACACACACACACACAACATACACACATGCACATGACTTAGAGGTAATAAAATAACGTTAGGTATAGAAAGGTAAAATGAATTCTTAAGTGCTACATTTCCGTCATTTGTTTGTTTATTTAATGTTTATTTTTGAAAGAGGAAGAGCATGGGGGAGGGCTAGAGAGAGAGGCGGGGGACAGAGGATCCACAGTGGGCTCTGCACTGACAGCAGAGAGCCCGATGTGGGGACTGAAGTCATAAACCCCAAGCTCATGACCTGAGACAAAGTTGGATGCTTAACTGACTGAACCACCCAGGGGCCCCTCTGTCCTTTATATTCAAGATACTAGGTGTTAAACAATTTACACATAAGCACTCTTACTGTACCAGAATGTATTTTGGGGGTACCTGCATGGCTCAGTGGGTTAAGTGTCTGACTTTGGCTCAGGTCATGATCTCATGGTTTGTGAGTCCAAGCCCCACACTGGGCTCTGCGCTGACAGTGCAAAACCTGCTTCAAATTCAGACTCACCCTCTCTATGCCCCTCCCCCACTCACACTTTCTCTCTGTCTTTCTCAAAACAAATAAACTTAAAATAAAAGAATGTATTCTGTTTTCTCTTTAAAAGAGACAGATCATCACCATCCTTACTCTGTCCTCTAATCTGCTGCTTGGCACACAGCATCGGTGACTGGTACTCTAGCATGCATTTTGAATATCAGGGCCATACTTTAGCATTGGTAAGTATTGAGCTAAAAGGAGCCTGGATTCCTTAAACATCATACAAACCCTGGATTGCAGACCTCCAGACTTATTTTCTGGGGGAAAAAATAAACTATCTGTTTAAGCAATGATTATCAGGGCTCTGTTTCTGAGTCGAATGCAATTCTTAATAGAGGATTGGAGAAGAGGCAGAGGGATGTCAGATTTATTGAGAGCACTATGTACCATGTACTTTATATGATTTAGTTCATGTCATTATCAAAACAAAACAAAGCTGAAAAAATTAAAGATCAATGACAATAAAACTCGTGTTTAGGTTTACAAAGCTCAGTATTAGAACAAAACCAGAATTTAACTTTCTTTTAATGTTTACTTCTTTCTGAGAGAGGGGGGCGGGAGGGGAAGAGGGAGAGGGAGACACAGAATCCCCAGCAGGCCCCAAGGTCTGAGCTGTCAGAACAGAGCCTGATGCGGGGCTTGAACCCACGAACTGTGAGATCATGACCTGAGCTGAAGTCGGATGCTTAACTGACTGAGGCACCGAGGTGCCCCAGAATGAAACGAGAATTTAAATCAAACCATGTTTTCTCATCACAGCATGCTAAAATGTCTTGTTTATCATATGTGCTCAGACCTTTGTTGATTACTAGCAATGGGTATAAACACATATATTGTTTTAATTCACTCACCAATATAAGACATTTAAATAAATAAAGTGACATATACTTAAATACACCACAAAACAGAAACACGCATCCATAGTTTGAATCTTCCCACTTCTCTCCATGATCAACATCTCAAAGAGTAGAAGTGGCATCAGGGTGACTTCAGGAGTGACACATCAAACTTATTGTCCTCAGCCTACATATAACTATAGATTTTTTTTTCTGGGCTAGAATGGGAAACCATTCAAACCATCCATCCATCTACTCACCTATTTATGCACTCATACAGGGCATCTACTATACTGAACAACCTGTTACTTCCTACATATATAACGTTGAATAAGACACAGTCCATGTTCTTCAAAAGCTTATAATTTAATGAGAGAAACAGAAAAAGAAATATGGAATTAGAACAGAATAAAGTTTTTCAAGTTCAGCACTAATGACATTTTGTACGGGATGATTTTTTGTTGTGGAGATCTATGCACTGGAGGATAGTTAGCACCATCCCTAGCCTCTACTTACTGCATATTGGTAGCACCCCAATCCTTTGTTGTAACCATAAGTGTCTCCAGACACTTTCACATGTCACATGTCACTTGTCAAATGTCCTTTGCGGGGCAAAGCACCTTTCTATCTCCTATGTCTTCCCCTCCCCCACACCTTATCGAGAACTACTACAAAAGAGTAAAAGCCACCATAAAACTTCAAAATATGGTCACCTACAACAGAGGTCTGGGCCAGAAAAGTTTTCTGGAGAAAGTAAATCCTTAACAGTGGCTTGAAATTTCAGTAAAATGCAGCCAGATGAAGTAAATGACTGTATGTGTTTTTATATGTATCAAGAAGGCCTTCTAAGCATGTGCACAGACTCAGAGTTTATAATGAGTACAAGACATCTGGCAGAATAAAGGTAGTTGAGCATGTTTGGAATGGGGAGGTGTGCAGTAGAGGGAGTTATGAAAAGTTGTACATGCCCACAGAGGAATACAGGGGTCTAGTTGTCACAAGATGAGACTGTAATCAGAAAAGGCAAACATTTGGGGGAAGAACGAATTCAGCGTTGGATGTATTGAATTTGAGTTGCCTGAGGGACAAGGAGGCGAAGGTGTCCAATAGAAAGTTAAATTTTCATTTATGGAACAAAGGGACACGACTCCGGCCAGAGAATGAACACCATCTGTATCAAGAAGCTGCATGTGTGCATGAAATGACCCAGGGAGAGTGTAGAGCTGAAAGGAAGAACCCATGGGCCTGATAGTGGCAGCGTGGACAGAGGTGAGGGAGAACAAGAGTGATTGTGATGTCACAGCGAGAGTTTCATAAACACGGCATAAAGGTCAGATCAGATGAGGAGTGAGACATGGCCAATGGAGCTGGCAATTCGGAAGACATGGTGGTCTTTGCAAGAGCCATCTTACTGGTATGTTCTAGGTGGTAGCCAACTTACAGGGGGCTGGAGTGGATGGGATGGGATCAAGGAGAGACACTTTCAAGAAAAGTGTAGAAAGCATTAGAATGATGTAAAGACAGTGCTTATGGTAGAATAAGTGACAAACACACCCCGAGTCAAAAAGGTGAGTGGGGATGGGTAAGAGGAGTTTTAAGCATGAGTTCTGACTTCAGGTTAGCTGTGGATATTGCTTATATGCTCTATTCTTATTTCTGGCTCTCAGAGTCTCGTGGGTGTTTATATTAAGCTACCTCATAGAATTTCTGAATGTAAGCACAACCGGACTGTTTTTGCCTCTTCACAGCATACCGCATGATTCAGGGTGACTTTACAGTATCAATTTACTTGCCTATGGTGTATCTTCTGAACAAAGAATCAACTTTAACCACTTGACTCTCTGTACTAACCATATAGAGTTATGTTTAAAAACACAATATTCCACTAGTCTAAAAGCAAGAATTCAGAATAAGCCATTTTATAAAGCTCTAAAAATATTTTTTCATTAGGTGTATTGATGAGAATCTTTCCTTTAATTGAAAGGTTTTGATCCAGCTGTCTCAGAATAATCGACTCATGGGAGACAAAAGCTGAAAGGGAGTTTAGAGTCCCTCCACCTCCTTCCTTACCCCTCATCCATTCAGTGATTTTAGAGGAATCACTTTCCTCATGTCCTACAGTTCTTTCCTTTCCACTCGACGGCTTCTGCTGTCACCTTTATCATCTCTGTTGTGTGCTTCTAGATAGCTTCCTGACTGGCTTCCTTGCCTCTAATCTTTGCCCCCTCCAAGCCTTTGCCATACTTTGCTAAAGTGATCTTTCTAGAACACAAATAAGAACAGCTCTTAAGTTCTACTTAGAACTACTTGTGGCATGGCTTCTTACAAAATTCAGAATCCTTATGTCATATAAAACCTTTTCCATTTGTTCCAGGCATCCTTTGCATATTTCATCTCATACTTACATTACAGCCAGACAGGACATCTGTTAGATCCTGAGGCTGTATACTGACTTCCTCCCACAGGCCTGTGTTCTTACACCTCTATGCCCTGTTCATCTGCAGAATGACATTCAAACTCAGTTCAAGCATCTTCTCTCTAAAGTCCTTGTCAGTCTTCTTTCTCCCACCTGAACCTACACAGGACTGACCACTCCTCTTGTGGTGCCCCCCAATATGTCAGGTATATTTGTATACCTTAAAGAAATTTGTATACCTTAAAGTAGTATCAAACTACTTTGCTGCATGCATTAGTTTTTACAGGTGTGTCCCCCATTGAACTCTCAGCTCCTTGAAGACAGGGGCTGGTTTTTAAAATTTTTTTATGTCTTATTGAAACATGGTATTTAGGGGCGCCTGGGTGGCGCAGTCGGTTAAGCGTCCGACTTCAGCCAGGTCACGATCTCGCGGTCCGTGAGTTCGAGTCCCGCGTCGGGCTCTGGGCTGGTGGCTCGGAGCCTGGAGCCTGTTTCCGATTCTGTGTCTCCCTCTCTCTCTGCCCCTCCCCCGTTCATGCTCTGTCTCTCTCTGTCCCAAAAATAAATAAATAAAAACGTTGAAAGAAAAAAAATTAAAAAAAAAAAAAAAAAGAAAGAAACATGGTATTTATCAGGAGATCAGTAAATGTCTATCTACTGAACAAATCCAGTCCAAGCCTCTATTACTACAATGAGGGAACAAGGCCCAGAGAAATTAAATGACTTTCCCAAGGTCACTCATCTAATGAGTGGCAGAGTGGGGAATAGAAGCTGTCAATGGGGCCTGACTTTAAACTAGGGCTCTTAAAGGGGTGCCTGGGTGGCTCAGTCGGTTAAGCATCCGACTTTGGCTCAGGTCATGATTTCCTGGTTTGTGGGTTTGGGCCCCATATCAGGCTCTGTGTTGACAGCTGAGAGCCTGGAGCCTGCTTCAGATTCTGTGTCTCCCTTTCTCTCTTCCCCTGCCCCATTTACACTCTGTCTCTCTCTCTCTCAAAAATAAATAGACATTAAAAAAAAAAAATTTAAACTAGGCTCTTAGCACTGTCTTAGGTGCTACTTCATCTGTTTGAAAAAGGAATGCCCAGGGCCCAACCTTGTAGTTTGCTAACTTGATTGAACAAAGTTTTAATACTGAATATTTAAGTGAGTATTTGATGGGAAAATTTTGTTTTGTTTTGTTTTGTTTTGTTTTCTGGTAGAGAGAAGGAAAAGTGTGCTAATTTTAAAATGATGGATTATTTGATTTTATTCTCACCTTTTTCCCTACTGTTTGTCCCTTCTAGCTGGTTGATTTCACCAATTAGCCTTTAGTGAGGTATTTTCAAAAATTTCAAAATCAATAAGTACATACCACATTCTTCTTGTTGACAAAAGGAAAATAACCATCTTGGATTAAGAATTTACCATATGTATTTCATACATAAATAATCAATAGTAGGCTGAAATTGTTTTTGTTTACTTGTTTTTCTGTTTAGAGATAAGGAGAAGAGAGTAACAAATTCTAGTCTCCCTTGGAATGATGTGATTGAGTTGCCAGATAGGTGAATAAGTTTGTATTAGGTTATAATTTTTTTTTCATAAATGACCATTTAGATAACTAGCTTGTCCTTTTCATTCATTCATTCACAAATAAAACAGAACATTTAACTGGTGAATATGTTTTATTTGGACTGCTTTAATAGTTCCTAGTATATAACATTAATATGTAAAGGCTCTAAAGAGTCCATTAAAACTCTGCACAACAAGCTGTATTTTAATAATGCAGAGACTATGTGAGATGGAAGCCGATTTCTGCCGTTTAGATAACATAAGCAAAAACAATTTCCCAAAAGAGCTGAAGCTTATAAGTAAAAGAATTTTAAAATGCACAGGTCCTACAGATGGCAGAACTTAACATCAGCCTCAAAAGCACAGAAGAAAAGATAAAAAAAAAAAAATTCTCTCCAAACCCAGGCTTCTTTCAAGTCTCCTACTCAAAAGAGGATCTAGGATGCTAATGAATATTCAACTTTCAGTTTCTTCTAATAACAAATTCCATTTGTAAATATGTGAAGTAAAACAAACTTGCCCTATGTTTAATTTCTCTCAAAAGATAGTCTTTCATATTCCTTTAGGAGTTGATGGTGCCTGAATATAAAAAGACTTGACATACTGAGTGGAGGTGAAAAACTGAGTGCCATTTTGTCAATGGCAGTTTCTAACCTCCATTGGAAAGGCGAGCATTTTGCAGGCCCTTTTCTCTGGATCAGCAAAACTTCTGATACATAGAAATCCTCTTCTGCTTGGGCAGACTTTCATTTCAAAGAGGAGGAATGAATGAGGAAGATGATTTTTCTCATCTTTATACTGAACGTTCCACAAGTCAAGACCCAGTTCTGCCATCATTCCTCACGCAAACAGAGAGGTAGGAGGTGGTATTTGAGTTTTGTCAGACTTACCTACCATGGTTGCTAAAATCATCTTCCAACTTAGTCTCTCTCTCTCGGGAAGGAGCCCGAGGCTATCAAAACCACTCATTCATCACCTCCCACACCACAATGATTCTCTGAGCAGATATCCTGGGCTGCCATAATTTGCTTGACAGCCCTGAGGTCAGCCTGAAGACTTTTTTCTTTTCTGTCTTAAAATGTTATAAGCCACTGTCCTTTATGTACATGGATGATATTCTTGACCCACCATCAATGGTGGTGAGTCTGAAAAGCAAAATGTGATGATGCAGTAGGGCTGAGCTTGAGGGTTACACATGGAAGGAAGATGTCACAAAATGATAGGAACTCTTGAAAAACCCTGCACTGCAGAGAGAGCTCTGCATTAGTCTGCACCTTAGGCTTCCAGAAACCTGTTCTCATCCAACCCAGTATCTCCAGCCTCTCTGGTATTTTTCATATTTTGGTCTTAGTTTCCAGGTAGATTTCTATTATCTGGAACAATTCCATATGTTGACTGGTACCCCATATATTTACAGAGAAAAGGAGGCATTAAATAATAATCATACTTAAGCACCTTGGGAAGAATTAAGGAAGGTGTGTCAACTTTAATTTTGAATTTTCCTTTTACTTGTCAGTTTGCCTCTCAGACTTAATGCCAGGAGGGAATAAAAATCACCATCACCCTCTAGATGCTCAATGTCATACATAAAATGAATAGGGGGCTTAACTCTGATCTAACTAACTGGCTTGATTTCTACTCTGAATGATCCAGCTTCCTGTCCATTCTCCTATCAAATCCAAACTAGGTAGAGCTGCCCAGGCACACACATTCAGTAGGGAAAGGGGAGCAACAGAGAACAAAAGAAGGTTGGGGAAAGGGAGAACACGCATTTATTTCTGAAGTAGGAAAACTGGGAACTTGTATTGACATTTCTTTAATCCACAGCAATTTCCTGCCTCCCAGAGAAGGGGAGAGAAATGGCAGTTCTCTCCCACCCCAGTTAAAGCCCAGATTATATGTCTATTACCTATTTGTATATGTCCATTGACACTGGACCTGATATATGAAGAGTGTTTTCCTGGAAGGTCCAAGAATTTGGAAATAATTAACCAAGCTTTACTTTACCATACTAGCTCCATGAATAAAAAAAGAAGAATGTTATGATGATATCATTAGTTACAATGATACAAGCAGGTTTAAAATTGTGAAACTGGCCCACGTTGGTAATAGGAACAGATTCTTATGGAAAACTATGCAATGGGCCAATCTGAAAAAAAAAAAAAAAAAAAAAAAAAAAAAAAAAAA